CAAATCAAGTCAAGATGGCGCCTGGCACTTTGCCAGGAGGAGTGATTTGTGAAGCAACAGCAGAGAGCCATTAAGATGATGAGGATTCCTTATTGGCTGACTGCTGTATCTAGATGATGTTAATTAAGTTAAGCTGTGTGTAATTAGTTAAGCATATATACCTCTGCAGTCCGGCAGAGAAGCGGCTCCTGCTACTTTGGGTGCCTGCTACTTTGAGTTCTCACTCAGTTCCTGCTGAGTTCACTCGCAATAAAGTAGTTCAACCTTCAAGTTGCTTGTCATCTCTCGGTTATTTTGCCCAGCCGGACTACAGCAATAGGTAACTTCTTTGATAAACTGAATGGTAACCAAGCAATGATTCATCTTCTTGACTTGGTAACTTTATAGTAAATCATAAAAATTTACAATGAAGCTGGGCCCAGTGACACACACCTGTAATCCTACCAACTCAGGAGGCTGAGGCAAGAGGATCCCATGTTCAAAACCAGCCTCAGCAACTTAATGATATCCTCCACAATTTGGCAAGACCCTGTCTCAAAATAAAGTATAAAATGTAGCTCATTGTGCTCCATTTGTATACAATACATCTAAATGCATTCTGCTGTCATGTTAACTAATTAGAAAAAATTTAAAATAATTTTTTAAAAACAAGAAAAAAAATAGCTCAGTGGTAAAGTACCCCTGGGTCCAATTCCTGGCACACACAAAAAAAGTGAAATTGTGAGGCTGGGATTGTGGCTCAGTGGTAGAGTGCTCACCTAGTGCATGCAAGGTCCTGGGTTCAATCCTCAGCACCACATAAAAATAAATAAATAAAATAAATATTGTATCCAACTATAATTTTAAAAATACTTTAAAAATGAAATTGTAGGTGTGTGGAATTTAGAATAAAGAGTATGATTGATTGACTGTTTGATTGATTGGGGTGCTGGGATTGAATCCAGGGCCTCATGCATGCTAACCATGTGCTTTACCACTGAGCTACACCTCAACCTCTGATACATTTTATTCTTTTAAATCATGTTTGATACATCCTTTTATCAACATTTATAATAAGGTTATATGTGTACAAATATATATACTTGTTTTTCTTAAGCAACTCTAGCACGCAAATGTATTCATGACTCAGGCTGAGCTTATTATTGTTCTGATTAAATGTTCAGATTAAATCTGAGTGGGCACATGAGATCTGAGTCCATCAGATGAAGGTGGTTGGCTGAACTGAGACTTCTGGTAGTCAGTTGAGTCTGTGTATGTATGTGCACACATAGGCAAACAAGAAACATCTATGAAGTACAGATATCAGAGACAGAGAAGCCATCTCAGTTCTTTCCCACTTGTATGAACCAACTCTTAATTTAATAGGGTACAATGTGATGTTTTAGTGTATAAATACATGGTAGAAAGATTAAATCAAACTAACATTGCCATTACCTTACATCACCTTTTTTTTGTGATGAAAGCATTTAAACCTATTCTTTTAACAATGTTAAAATGCAAATTGATTAATATTGACCATGGTCACCAGGCCGTGCAATAGATCACTACAACTTACTCAGCTCCCTGAAAATTTAGCCAACATTTCACCTTCCCCATCTCTCCAATCTAGACAATCAACCACCACTACCCTCTCCAATCCCTCAGCCTCTGGTAACCGTCATTCTACTCTCTCTTTCTCTGAAATAAACTCTTGAATGATGAATAAATTCCATCTATGTGAGATGATGTGGTATTTGTCTTTCTGTGCCTGTCTTATTTCATTTGGCATACTTATTCAGCCATATTATTACAAATGACAGAATTTCCTTTTCTTTTAAGGCTGAATAGCATTCTGTCGAGTTCCATGACTAAACACTCAAGTTCACTCCAGCTGAACTGGGCTGCCAGGAATAATCACAGAGACAGAGAAATACCACTTTCTTTGGATCCTGTGATGAGTCCTCCTACTTTTGGGGTTGAAAGAGAGAGGAGCATGAGCTGAACCCTTTTATTGGGAAGAAACCATCCAAATAAGGCAAGGGATACGATGACAAAGGAATAAGTGAGTGTAGCTCAACCTAGACCCGTGTTGTTGGGACAATGCCCAAGTCACCATGAAATGTAGTGATTGGTCAGAGCCTCCTGCTTCAGGACTGGAAGGAGTGGCTATTCAGAGTGGCTCCCCACAGTATTCCACTGTGTATTCATGCCACACTTTCTCTACCCAATCATTCATTGGACAATTAGGTCACCTCCATAGGTTGGCTATTGTGAATAATGCTAAAATAAACATGGAAGTACAGATATCTCTTTGATATACTGATCTTAATTTTTTTTTTTGCACATGTATCTAGAAATAAGATGGCTAGGTCATATGGTAATTCTATTTTTAGTTTTTTGAGGAACCTCCACACTTTTTTTCAAAATAGCTGTAACAATTTTCATTCCCACCAACCAACATATCAGAATTCCCTTTTCTTCACATCCTCACCAACATTTGCTATCTTTTTATCTTTTGATAATAGCCTTCTAAACAGAATGAGGTGAAGTCTCATTGTGGCTTTAATTTGCATTTCCCTTATGATTAGAGATGTTGAGCATATATTCATGTATAGACATGTAGACATTGTTGTGTCTACGGGTATATCTTCCTTTGAGAAATGTTTGCCAGATCCTTTGCTCATTTTTAAATCAGATTTATTTTCTTGCCATGGAGTTGAGATTTTTATATATTTTGGATATTAGCCCCTTATTAGATGCATGTTTTGCAAATATTTTCTCAATGTATGGGTTGTTTCTTCACTGTATTTGTTTCCTTTGGTATACAGAAACTTTTTATGTAATCCTGATTTGAAGCTTTTCCCCTATTTCTTCTAGTGGTTTTAGGAATTTAAGTCTTGAATCCATTTGAGTTGATTTTTGTGTATTATATAAGGGCTCAATATCATTCTTCTGCATATGGATATCCAGTTTTCCCAGCACCATTTATTGAAAAGACTTTCCTTTCCCCATTGTGTGCTCTTGGCCTCTTTGTTGAAAACTCGTTGGCTATAAGCATATGGATTTATTTCTGGGATTTCTATCTTGTTCCATTGAGCAATGTGTCTGCTGTTAATTCCAGTACCATGCTGTTCTGATTTACAATAGCTTTATAATAATATATTTTGAAATCAGGAAGTATGGTGACCTTCTTCATTCTTAATCATAAGAGAATCTAGAGATAATGGTAATGCAGCTTTAATGAAAAGAAGAAAAAATTCTGTCTCATTAATAAATTGGTCAGAGAAGCAATATAAAGTTTAAAATCGTCAAAGAGAGTAGCCTGCACAGCCGGATGGGCTCTGGGAACTCACATAACAATTCACTGGTGAAGAGTTACAGGTGTGTCCAGGCTACAAGACCATTTGGAAATAACCAAAAGAAAGGCCTTAACTTATATTTAAATTACAGAGTCAAAAGGTCCTAAGACTTGTTGAACTTATTAATTTTATTTGTTTTGCTTTCTAAACTAATGAGAGGTTTTTAAGATCAGCTTTGCCTTCAGGTCTATGTACACTCCATCACCTGAAGTTGTTTGGATCCTATAGCAGTTGATGCTGTCCTTAAAGAGTTCCTGTGTAGTCTGTGTTGGTCCTGATCGAAAATGGACTCCAAACCAGAATCTGAATTACTGCAATGCCCAGCGGAACCAGGCAAACCAAATAAAATATATGATCTTGATGATCTATAGATGTACTGGGGGAAAAAGTTATAAAACATAGTTAGGTGTTTGTTTTTTTTCTAGTGGCTTCTGTTTTTATTAATTCAAAACTATTTAACAAAAAAATTTTTGTTATCTAACAATCCATTTAAAAAGGAAAAAAGACATTTTATTGAATAATTTTAATTCTTTCCAATTATTGAATAACCCTTACCTTTAGTTGCTCAGAGGAGAGGAGGCTGACACACAAACCTGTGAGCACAGTACCTGCTGAAACATGCCACAACTACAACCCAGAATGACCAAGTGCCTGGGATAACCAAGGACAGGAGTGAGGACCCAAAGCACACACTCATATGTGTGCACCCTTGTTACACTTCAGTTTTGTTTGTTTGATTTTGGTACCAGAGATTGAACCCATGGGCACTTAACAACTGAACCACATCCCCTAGCCCTTTTTATTTTGTCTTTTGAGACAGGGTCTTGCTAAGTTGCTCAGGGCCTTGATTAATTGCTGAGGCTGCCTTTGAATTTGCAATTCAATCCTCCTGCCTCAGCCTCCTGAGCCACTGAGAGTACAGGTGCATGCCCAGCTACACTTTGGTTTAAGGCCTAACAATGGGTTTTAAACAAGGTGAGAGGATTTGGACATTCATTTCTAATACCAAACTTTTACTCAACACAATTAAAGAAATCCAGTGTTAATATTTAGAAGCAACCTGGGTAGGTTTTCTACTAAGTACTTCCATTAAGCCCAAATACTTTTAAGGTTCTTAATTATATTCCAAATAGATCATACTTTTTATTTAAATCATATTCAGTAAAAAGGGCTCCTGATTATTCAAATTTTGATTACCCAGTTAGATCAACTATGTAAAATAGCCCCTTATTAAGCCAAATGAGAAAAGAAATGAAAATGTCAAACTATATGATATAAGATGAGGAAGCAGTTTGCACTACATTTTCATATTAAAACCAATCACTATTACCAGAACTGAAGTATCATTAGTTCATCTAAAGAAAATTGATATTGTTAGATTATTAATATGCTGGGCATTGAGCTACATACTAGGTATTCAACAGTAGCCAAAACTGGTAGGGTTCCTGTCCTCATGGAGCTTACCCCCATGCAGGTAATAGATCTTATATGCAGATGGTAGATCTTACTCAAATAATTATAAGTAAATTCGATTTACATGCACTTATTTGAGACAACTGTAAAAAGCTCAGACTTACTCTCAGCAGGTGGAACCTAGTAAATCAAACTGAGTTCTGAAAAGTACACATTAACTAGAAGTCTGCTGCCTAAAATCGTGTGCAGAACCTCCAACCACCACTACCTCCTCTAAAAGCCATAGCTAAGAATGTCCTTGGTGCTCTGGACTGGATTGCATTCATTAGGGATGACCATCCCCCCAACTGCTGCTCCTCCAGTCTGCCCCTCACCTTGAGTCCTACCTGGTCCAAGAACTTACTACTACCTACCCCTTCTCCATGCTTCTGCTGCTACTTCTCAGGCTCTGAGATAAACACAATGGCCAAGGTCATAGGCTTGACTTCCCCACATACATGCTGACTATAGCTTCTGGAAGTAGCAGAGGCTCTGATAGTGCTGTTTCTCCCAAATTCTCCTTTTTTCTGTGGGTATATAATGTTTGGTTAGCCTAGCATTCCTTCAAGAAAAAATCCTCTCCTTTCTTCCACAAGTAAGCCTGTCCCAGTCCTTAAGACTGTCTCACTCCCACACTAAGGTCAGACTTGTGCCCCGACTTGGTCAGAGGATTCCACTATTGCTTTCAGTGACTGTCGTGTGACTTACACAAGGCCTGTCGGTGTCCAACAAGGGACTTTTGCTGTGCTACCAAGACAAGAGTGCATGCTTCTTCATAATCTTGGGCTATTAGGCCCATATAAACCTGGGGCTATGTTGCTTGCAGGAATTAAAAGCTTGAAACAGACACAGAGGGAAAGTCAGAGAAAAAGGTTTCTGGCACACTTGGGAGCCAGCTCTGCCTGACTTTTCAGATATAAGAATCAGTAAGTTCCTCTTTTATTTAGCCTGTAGTGGATTTCTGTCACATGCAGCCAAAGTGGCCTGAGTAATATACCCTTCCAATTTGAATTGATGCCCATATTGTGTAAACTGACAGCCTCTGACCACTCTAGAGAAAGGATTCAGTGATATATAATTGGCCTCAACCATTAAGGATCCAGGAGGTATGAAACAGCTGAGTGCCTGATTTCTAGAACAAGAAGACATAGTCATGACTGCTTTGGAACTTGATGTTGCAGATGCTCACAACCATCATGCTTCTCTTGCAGATTTGACTATTCACTGATATGAACCACAAGACTCAATAAACAGGAGAACCAGACTAACAATGGGTGCAAGATGCCAAAAAAGGTAACGGAGACCCAGTGCCACTTCAATAGCTGCTTAAATCATACATGTCTCCAACACATAAAAGAAAGGAAGTGGCCTAATCAAGACCTTTAGAGGGGGGGAAACCACAGCACTGCATCCATGAGCTGCTTAGTCACGGAATTATTACAATATGTGCTCTGAAACCCAGGGTTTTATGAAAAGGCTGGTTTCTGCTCAGCAGAGGCACCTCTGTGCTTTTGTCTCAGTATTCGATTAGCAGCAGGAGCCCATTATCTTTCTGAATTCTGTAGTTATAACAGATTCCAGTTTTTAAAATATCAAGAAAGTTTTCTCTGCCATACTCTTCTTCCAAAATGTTCTGCCTCAGCTTGAGCCCTGATGGAGTCAGCCAACTCTGACTGAACTTCAGAAACCAACAATATCATCTTTGAAGAAGATTGGAGCCAATCTGTTGGACACCTAGGGTCTGGCCAAGAACCAGCACAGACCATCAGACATATGCATGCAGTCATCTTCACAGAGCAGATCTGTGAAGGCACAAGATGACTAAAGTCTCATTTATCATCCTAAGCAACATCAGCACAGGGATTGCCCAGATAAGCCCAGCCTGGATTGCTGACTTGAGACATGAATGAATAAAATGGTTGCTTTTTGTGTGTGTGTTGGGAGGCGGGGTTGTTTTTTTGGTGCTGGGATTAAAACCAGGTGCACTTAACCATTAAATCACATCATCAGTCCTTTTTATTTTTTATTTTGACGCAGGCTGTAAGTTGCTTAGGGCCTCACTAAGTTTCTGAGGATAGTCTCAACTTTTGATCTTACTGCTTCAGCTTCCTGAGTTGCTGGGCTTATAGGCACATGCCACAACACCCAATCAAAATGGTTGCTTTTATAACTAATTTTTTGGTCATTATTATGTAGGAAATGCTAACTGGTATCTAATTCCCCAATTTTCAATGTTTTTAACATATTAATGATTAGGATAGACATAGCTGAATTATATATCAAATAAAACCAATAGAACTTAGAATATATATATATATCAAGAAATTGGATTCCTGCTGGCTGTGGTGGTGCATGCCTGTAATCCCAGTGGCTCGAGAGGCTGAGGCAGGAGGATCTTGAGTTCAAAGCCAGCTTCAGCAGTGGTGAGGCACTAAGCAATTCAGTGAGACCCTGTCTCTAAATAAAATACAAAATAGGGCTGGGATGTGGCTCAGTGGTGGAGTTCAATCCCTGGTAACCCCCACCAAAAAAAGAAAAAAAGAAATTAGATTCCTGCTGTCAGGGTCTCTCTATGGAATATTTTCCATCTCTAGGATAGAATTGTCTTTATTTTTTTGCACAGAGAGGGGGCATGAAGAACACGTGTGGCAAAGTTTCCTATGGGCACAAGACAACATGCACAAAGACAGCCTGAAAGAGGCACTCAAGGGAAGCCAGGGGACAAACATTTCAATGAATAGGCAATTTGGCATTTGTTAGAAGACACAATACTTTCAAGCTTACATCCTTATTACAGACATTGCCACCATCTTAATGGATTCAGACCCTGCAGTAGTCCCTGTGATTTCTGCACTACCTCACTGAATCTCTTGACACTCTTCAAATATTTCCTTGGTGTTTCTGCTTCTTTCTTAAGATGCCTTTTTTCTCCTGAAATATGATTCTAAGCCAGAGACATGCCCATGATTTGAGAGAATTTCTCTTCTCTCTCACATTACATTCATTCTACTGGGAGATGAATGAACCTATTGACTAGTGAGGCTATATTTCTTTCAGAATGTCATCACCTCTCATTGCCAACTTTAACAACACTTTTTAATGAATCTCTGGTAGAAAAATAGTTCTTACGCACTGCTTGGGCCTTCATTTATTCACCAGGTATTTATTGTACACATACTGTCCTAAGTGCTTAAGATACAGAATAAATCAATCAACATTGATTCCTGCCCTCCACAAAGCCTACCTGCTAGTGGAAACAAACAGACCATTAACAAATATATTTAGCATCATCTTATAATAATAATAATAATTGCACTTCTGCTCATGGAAAAAAATTACACCCAATTTTCTCACAATCTTCGAAACAAAAATAATCTACCTGCAGGTAATAATATCCTAAAATATTACTCTTTGGTATCCTTTACCTAATTTTCTTAGCTTACTATGAAAAGTAAGCTGTAGAGGTAAAGGGAGCCATGATGTAAATTATCATACTCTCATCTCAAATCGTATCCTCTGTAGGATCTTCCTCATCACAAAACTAAAATGAAGCCTGGCTCCTTTCCACTCTCTTATTTTTCCTATCAATATTGTCTCCAAGAAAACAAGTATAAAATTAATAAGGTTGCTCTCTGATAGCATCAGTAAAATAATTTTATCATCATTAGAATAAAAATAGACAATCCAACCAATGGAAGAACCAAAATCACATCAATGGGCACCCCTACAGAATAAAGAGATGCTCAGTATTGCAAAGGTCAAGAAACTCAAATAAGACTTAAGTAGTAGGGTAGTCTCTTCTGAATTAGGGTCAGGAAAACAAGTCCACATAAATAGTTGCTACCTCAAGTAGAGAGAGGAAATTTCTTCTAGGGTCAGCCTGAAACAAGTGTAACAAGTTTTAGCAGGCTTACTATGTATGTGGCCCTGTATCTCAATTGGCTTGGACTGCCATAACAAAATACTATAGACTGCATTGATTGGGAGGCCTTATCAACAAAAATTTATTTTTTCACATTTCCAGAGGCTGGAAGTCTTAGATTAGGATGCCAGCTTGGTCAGATTCCAGTGAAAGTCCTTTTCTTGGCTTGCAGACAGTTGTATCCTCCCCCATGGTAGAGACAGAGAGAGCATGCTCTCTCTTTCTCTCCCTCTTCCCACCCCACCCTCTGTTTTTTAATTGGTGCTGGGGTTTAAACTCTGGGCCTTGCCCATACTAAGCACACATCCACCTCTGAGCTACATAAGAGCACTAATCCTATTTCGAAGGTCGGCTCTAATGTCATTGTCTAGACCTAATTATCATCCACAGGCTTCATCTCCAAATACCATTGCATTGTGAGTTGCTACTTTGAGGAGACAATTAAGTGCATAGCATTCTGTTGGATACTTTCCTCTTATTGATGCTAATCTTCACAACAACCCTAAAGACCACAAGGAAGTTTAGGTTAATTAAGTTGCCCAAAGTTACACAACTAGTGAGTTTGGAGCTGGAGCTGAGACTTCTACCTAAAACATTTTATCTGAACTAAAAATCTCTCCAAGAAAAACTGATACCTCTAATCTAAATTTATCAGAAGGAAAAAAACTCAGTCTTTGAGAAAGTTAAATATTCTCCATGGAAATATCAGGTATACTCATAGCATTATATCATCACACTGAGGTCTTGAAAAATCTATATATTTAATTCAATATATGCCAATTTTTCTTTGCCAGAGATTGGGGGATATGGTTTATGTTTCCATATATAAAAACTAAATGAAAAAAGTAACAATGTAATATTCTTCCAAAATACACCATAAGGTTGATCATCTCCTGCTTTGGATAAAATCTAGTCCTCAGATGGTCCCTTTGCAACAAAACACAAAGACCTTATTTATAGAAGTAAATAAAAAAGTGGGCTATGGGGAAGAAATCAATAGTGTATCATTGCTAATTCTGTGGCAAATTCTGGGGCTGGAGCATATAGCTCAGTGTCAGAGCTCTTATCTAGCATGTCAAAGGCCTTGGGTTCCACCTCCACATTGAAAAAAAAAATTTAATACAAAAATCAGGATATATATTATTATGGTCCTAAGAACTCCTGGACAGAATTCCCCCACAAAAATTTCACATCACAGCCCCATTTCTGAAGTACCATCAGTAAACTGATTCAGTCTCAATTGTAATCTTTTGGGCCAAATGTTAACAATTTAGATTTCTCTAAGTGCGTATGTCCACTATAATTAACAACAGAACTTCCATTTATTTCTTGCAGTACTGGGGACTGAACCTAGGGGCACTCTACGGCCGAAGGACATTCACAGCTCTTTTTACTTTTTCTTCTGAGACAGGAGCTCACTAAATTGCCCAGGCTGACCTCAAATTCTCAATGCTCCTGCCACAGCCTCCTGAGAATTTGGGCTACAGGCCTAGGCCACTGTACCCAGCCTGCATATGTATTTAATCCTGACTTCCCAAATACACAGTGCTGGGGCAGAGAGGAAGTCACGTCTCAACAAAGAACAAAATTTGAGACAGAATTTAT